TAATAGCAATGCCACTATTTCAAGGATCATTGGTTTTACGATTCACTATCTTTCGAAAGATCAATTTTAAACACACACAATATTTTGATCAATTTGTTGTCATCACCAATGTGTTGTCATTGCAGCAACTAGAAACTGAAGGATTAATTTTAAAAAATTCACATTGTTTGAACGACGCGTAAAGAAAAGAAAAGAAAAGAAAAGAAAAATAACGGAATTGTATTACGTCAACAGTGTCGAAAATAAAAAGCAGCGGTTTAAAATGTGCAAACACGCCGCGTTAAAATCCACACACAAGTTTGAAGCCAAACTCGAGCCCGCATTAGAGCCTGTTCAGTACCGGTAAGGTCAAAGGATATCACCTGCATGCCCCGTACACGCATCCCCTCCGCGAAAAATCCTCGAGCATCCGCTATACTTGACCTCTTACAGTAATCTCCATGACAGTGTTCATGGCGCATAAAAACGAAATGCTGAAAACAATTTAAATTATACACCAAGACACCGTCACGTCGACTTTTACCCGCACAATTACGTTCCACTCGTATCATTAACAATTTCCATCGATTCACTGTGCTGACTGTGAGCGTGAAACCTAATCTAACCTTGATCGATTATAACAATTTTTAACAATTTTCAATTTAAAAATTTTGCACTTAAAAAATTAAATAATGAAAAATAATTATTTAATAAAGATTAATAAATTTTGTTAATGAAATTCAAATCAACAATCTAGGAAAATTATATATTTTTTATCAAAGGATATTTCTGCATTTCGATGATACAAAAAAAAAAATGATAATATTTTATGTAATTTTCAGAAAAGGCGGAAAAAGAAGACGGAAGGAAAAAAGGGAGAAAGGAAAAGGTGCGAAGCGGCGCGCGACAAAATCGAATCGAAATTCTTGCGTTTAAGCGGTGCTAAGGTCAAAGGATATCAACCGCGTGCGCGCACATCCTGCCGACGAAAAGAACGCGCGTCGAAGGTCTCCGTAGAGGTTGACCTCTTGCCGGTAGTATCCTCTTCCCCTCTTTATCGTTCCTTGCCCATCCTTCTCTTTCGACGCGCACGATGTTCGAAGCGCACTTCGTACGTACGCTTAGAATCTAGGTAAAGCCGGCCGCGGCACCGGTAGACCGTTAAGGTTCGATCACTTAAACGTACGACACGAAAGGGGAGGGCATGCAGCTCGCGGAGAAGGTGTAGGAGAAGGCATACCTCTGCATACCTGCGTGCGAAGGTGTGTATAAAGCGGGGGAGCTCCAAATGTCAGAAAGAATCGAGCGGAATAGAGCGGAGTGAGCGGAGAATATGATCGTCCGAGCTGGAAGAATAATTATATTGCCGGAACTGGGTGGAAAATTTTCGTGAAAAGTCAATGAACGATGCGTATCGATGGATGTAATGTAAAGAATGATTTTATAATTTTTATTTCGTCACCCGATATAATTAGGAATTATTCTGAAACGTTATGATGGGATATTTGATTATTTTGTTATTTTTAAGAGCATTGATAATTTATAGCTCGCTATGCATAAAACTTCGTTAATCCTCTGTTTCAGGATTAAATTCATTTCAGAATGATTGGAAAATATTGTGCAGAGATCCGTTGATATGAAACCTGTTCGAAAGGCGAACGATTTCTTTTATTACTCAATTCTTCGATTCTCGCGACAGAGATCAATCGTTTATTTTCCTTTGGATCGATACAGAATCGTTCTTTTCTCCGCTGCATCTCGATACAGTCCGTAAAAACCGAGAGATCACGCGGATGGAATTGAAGCGAGTGGCACGGACACAAAAGGAAAGGCGCACCGTTGCACTTGTACCTCGAACGACCACGGTTCTCCCGCTGGTGCATTCTAATCGAGTGACTATAATTAAGCTCGCGAAGCTCGTATTGGCGCCACGTGAGTATTCCTGGCGGGACGTGCCGGCGCGCGCGAACCAGTATTTATTGCGCGACAAAGAAATTCGCGGGACATGCTTCTCTAATTATCCATCGTGCGTGATACTTCGATGAATTATATCAATTAACGGACAATATGTACTCGGTGTTTTACT